CCCCACCTCCCCATGTCCTCCTCGCCTCCCCATGTCCTCCTCATCCCTTCCTGTCCTTCCCATCCCTGTGTCCTCCCCATCCCTGTGTCCTCCCATCCCCCCCCAAGCCCTCCCCATATCCCATGTTCTTCCCATCCCCCGTGTCCTCCCCATGTCCCCCGGGGCTCGGATGTCCCCTCACAAGGACGTGTCACGGGGTCTGCCTCCCTCTGATTCCTCACACTGGTCACTTGGGTTAGTGTCCAGCGTCAAGGCCCTGCAGCACACAGGCCTCCACTAGAGCCGGGGCATGGTGTGTCCTTTGCTTAGGGGTGTGCCATGCTTTCACCCACATCCGCAAGATGTTCTGGCCTGGCTTACTTTGAGAAGCCATGGTGTCCCAAGGACAGACCCAGAAGACATACTTGCAGTGTGGCTCACATACTGCCTTTGTCCTGTTTTCAGTAGTGGGAGAGAAGACCTAGCACACACCAGGACTGGGGTGAATGTGTTCACCAGAGTGAGCGTGCTCATGACCCACACCTGCCTGGCTGCAGTGTCCAGGCCAGGCCATGGGTGGCAGGGGTGGGGAGGGGGAGGGAGCATGGTCAGACAGCTGCTCCCAAGGACAGCATGAGCCAGGCTGTGAGACTCAGGGCAGAGGCAGCCCGGGGAGTCGAGGGGGCTGGGAAGGGCCTGGCAAGGCCTGGGTGTGCTCCAGTGAGTGTGGCTCTGCCACACGAGGGCCACCGAGCCTGGTGCTGGCCTGGCCCCTGAGCCAGTACCAGTGAGAAGCAAGGGCTCGTCTTGCTCCCTCCCCCAGCCCCCACCCTGCCTCCCCTTATACCGTGTGCTGGCAGCCTCCACCCCACAGCCCACCTCCCACAGCCGAACTTACCCTGCCGCTGTGGGCCAGCCGCTGCCCTGAGTGGGAGGGGCCAAGGAGGCTCAGAGTGTGCATGCATTAGTAAGAGTGTGCATTCGTTAGTGAGAGTACATGCATTAGTAAGACTGTGGGTGCATTAGTAAGTGTGCATTCGTTAGTAAGAGTGTGTGTGCATTAATCAGCAAGACCTGCAGCTGAGAAAGAGCACTTCAGGAAGCCGGGTTGATGCAGAAGTCCTGGGCTTCAGGAGGGTACTGGGAGACCAGTGAGGAGCTTTATGTGGGCAGCCACAGTGGTACAACTTTTCATTAACAGGATAGTGATAGCAGATGTAGCTTTGTCCTGAGACTGGAGAGACGGGGGGGGGGGGGGGGCTCCAGTGTGAACCAGTGGTCTGAGTTGCCCCAGCAGAGCCCTGGTCTGTGTCCTCACTGCTGGACAGTTCAGGTCCACTAGGGTGCACTCGCCACTGTCTGGATCTCCATGGGGTGGGTGGTGGGCAGACACTGGCTTGCCTGCTGGCCCAGGGGGCAGAAAGTGCCGGCACATTGCATCTCAGCCACATGTGTCCGTGCCTCAGGTGCCGGGGAGATACACGGTGGCAGTGGACCATGAGAAGGGAGGCACGGACACCCTCGCCATGAGAAGCGGGGACCTGGTGGAGGTGGTGGAGGAGGGCGCCCAGGGGCTCTGGTGAGAGGGCACACCTGCCTGCCCCATGCCAAACCTGCCCCTCCTTCCCACACCTGCCCCTCCCACACCCCTGCCTGATTCCCTCACTCCTGCCCCTCCCTCCTCACACACCTGCTCCCTCCTTCCCCACACACCTGTCCCTCCCTTACATGCCCAGCCTCGTGCCCCCCCACATCCCTACCTCCGACGACAGAGAGACCACAGCTCCCTGCTCCCTCATTTCAGGTATGTCCGGGATCTGACCAGCAGCAGGGAGGGCTGGGTGCCGGCCAGCAGCCTGTCTACTCTCCTGGGCAAGTCCAGTTCAGCCCAGTGTCTGAGCAGCTCAGGTGAGCTCCCGGCCCTCACCGCCCTTTCAGGGCAGGGGTGAGGCGTGTGTGTGCTGGGAGAGGGCCGAGGAACTCACCCTGGTTTCCCGCAGAGTCGAGCCCGGGGTCGGCTGTGCTGAGCAACTCGTCCAGCTGCAGCGAGGGCTGCCCCGCGCCCTTCCCTGGCGTCCAGGCGTAGCGAGCCTCCGGGCACCTCTGCCACCCTCGGTAGGCCCGCATGCCAGTGTTGAGGTTTTCTCTTGCTTGGGTTTGCCAAGTTTGGGGAGGGTCCAAAATCAGGAGAACCCAGACAACCCTTGAGCCAAAGGGACCTCGGACCTCAGCACCAGGACCCACCTGGAGCAGAAGCCAGCGCCAGCTCCAGCTCCACTCCAGCTCCGGCTCCAGGAGGCAGGCACCCACCAGAGCTTCCACGTGGACAGGAAGGGCTGTGGTGATCCGCCCTGCGGCCATGGGCCCTGCCCCATCCAGGGGCCTCCGCTGAGCAGCCTCTTCACAGCTACCTGCTGTCTCTGGTTTGGTGCTCTCTGTGGGATGGCATCCGCAGGAGGAAGGGTCAGGGGACTCTGGTCTTTTATAGGTTTTTGATTTTTTTACACAGGAATTACTCCATGGCCATTTTTGTGGTACTTTGGCCTCGGCTCTTTACCAAGAATCACTGTGTTTACATGCAATGACAATTTGATATTGTATTTGATATAAAACTATTTTTTGTTACTGGGGTTTACTTGGAAGCACGCTGTTTATTCCGCTCAGTGATGTGGGGACATGCTGGGGGCGCCTGGCACGGCGGCCGGGGTACCGCTGCAGCCATGCCGCGTCTCCGGGACGAGCGCAGTGGGCCACGGAGGTCCTCGCGCCTGCAGACGGTTCATTTCCACCTGGAAGTTCAGACTCTAAAATCTTAACCTTCTTTTCTACAACAAAGGTTTTCTTTTTAAAGCTCTTCATGGAATTAGGGTATTTTTATTGTTTTTAAAGAAAATGTAAAGATGCAGTCTCGGTGAGGCTTCTGGAAGCCGCTGCATCACAGGTGAGCACGGCTCACCCCGTGCCCGGCACGCTTGCATCCCCTCCCGGGAGCCACTTGCCATCTGCAGCAGCACCACCCGGCACCGCCAGAACCACCGGGCCACACTGTGGCGGGCGGAGTGCAATGCTTTCTCCGGCCTCCGTGTTTGGGAGGCGCACGCTGTGCCTGTTGGGACGGACAGTTCCATGTGTGTAGATATGTCCCGTGTGTACATAGAGCTGGTGTAAAGGATGTATTTATCATCTCATGCTGCTGAATGTCTGTCACTTTACAGTCCCTCTCTGTCCCTTCTGCCACCGGACCACTGTAGCTCTTCCCTCCCTCCCCCTGCCCCCCTGATCCTCCCGCCCCCTTGCCCTGGCCTGCAGAGCCGTCCCTGGCCAGGCCTCCAGAGAATGATAATAAAAGAACGTATTATACAAAGATTCCATCACGTTCCTGCTGGTGCAGATGTTACTTGAAAAATGAGGAATGAAACCTGCCTGCTCTCTGGTTAGACACTGACCCTTTCAACTCAATCACTTTACAATGTCACATTTCCTCCACAGCTACTTGTCGTCTCCCACGTGATGTCCAGAGTCTCCATGGTATCGTTGACCTTGGAGTAAATGTCACCAATTCCCGCCATCTCTTCCCTCAAAGGCACGGGTCCCCAGTGGCTTGAACACAAGTATGACTTGAGGCAGGATAGCAGAAGGGACCCTAGCACATACAGCTTTGTTCTGTCAGACAGTGGTAATGGCAACAAAAATGTGGAGGTGAACCAGGTGCTGGTGGCTACTTGTAATCCTAGTGACTAAAGGCTGAGATGTGAGGATCGCAGTTTGAAGCCAGGTTGGGCAGAAAATTTTCTGTCTGTGAGACTCCTATCTCCATTAAACTACTCAAAAAAGGCCAGAAGTAACACTGTGGCTCAAGTGGTGGAGCACTGCTCTTGAGGCTCGGGACAGTGCCCAGGCCCTGAGTTCAAGCCCCAGAACCAGCAAAGCAAAAAAGTGAAGGTGCCCAAAGAAATGTAGAGGAACCACGACAGAACAGTAATAACCACAGGGGTGGAGAATGAAGGGAGGACATTGGTCCACAGAAGGGAAAGGCATGGGAAACAACACTAAATGTAGTAAAGAAATGAGTTGGGCCCTGTTTGACTTGTGTGCCAGAGACCTTAGTATATTCAGTGGACCTACTGGAAGAGCACGACGGACTGACAGCTGCTAAGGAAATCCTGAGGAAATGATTCAAGGGAAGGATGGCCTATATAAAGAGCTGGTGATAGTGCCATCCCAAAATGGGATGTGGAATCCGTTGCTGCATCACAAGTATGCAGGTGTCTGATAATGAGGCTTGAACTACAGAGCCCGCCCCAGCTCTCAGGAGAAGGGCTTATTATCACTCATAAAAGTGGATCCTTGTTTAGTCATAAAAATAAAATATGTACCCTTTCAGCAACCATAGAACTTAACATGGAATATTTACAAAACAATAAACAAGGTTGTTTTTAAAGGTATGTAGGATTTTTAAATAGTGCTTCTAAGTTTGCTAGAAAGGCAATGTCATTGGGATCCTGATGGCGCTGCTGCTGACCTGGTATCTATTGGCACACAGCTGAAAACGACAGAAATAGTGAGTTACCATTTAAGGATGCTAAAGAGTTAAAGAGGTAAAACTCAAGGGAAGTTTTTGATGAAATAACTATTACTAAGGGAAGGAAATAAACCAAAGAAAAAGATGTCAAAACCAACAACGCTACTCAGGGCTCAGCAGCCATGTGTGCAGGTACCAGTGCAGGATCAGTGACTGACTGTGTGTGCAGGTTCCATGACCAAGTGTGCAGGCTCAGTGGCCACATGTGCAGGATCAGTGACCATGTGTGCAGGCTCAGTGACTGTGTGTGCAGGCTCAGTGACTGTGTGCGGGATCAGTGACCGTGTGTGCAGGCTCAGTGACCATGTGTACAGGCTCAGTGACCGCGTGTGCAGGATCAGTGACCACGTCTGCAGGATCAGTGACCGCATGTGCAGGCTCAGTGACAGTGTGTACAGGATCAGTGACCACATCTGCAGGATCAGTGACCGCCTATGCAGGCTCAGTGACAGTGTGTGCGGGCTCAGCGGACTGAGTGTGCAGGATCAGTGACCACATGTACAGGATCAGTGACTGTGTGTACAGGATCAGTGACTGTGTGTGCAGGATCAGTGACTGTGTGCAGGCTCAGTGGCCACATGTGCAGGATCAGCAGCTGTATGGGCAGTCTCAGTGACCACGTGTGCAGGCTCAGTGACTGAGTGTGCAGCATCAGTGACAGTGTGTGCGGGATCAGTGACCACATCTGCAGTATCAGTGACTGCATGTACAGGCTCAGTGACTGAGTGTGCAGGATCAGTGACTGTGTGTGCAGGCTCAGTGGCCGCATGTGCAGTCTCAGTGGCTGTCTCAAGCTCTGTGGCTGTGTGCAGGTTCAGTGGCCGTGTGTGTTCAGGCCTGGTGCTGACTACTGACTCAAGCCTGGAGCTGACTACTGACTGACCACTGACTAGCCCTGGAGCTGACTACTGACTCAGGCCTGGAGCTGACTACTACCTCGGGCCTGGAGCTGGCCATTGACTGGTCCTGGAGCTGACCACTGACTCGGGGCCTGGAGCTGATCACTGACTCAGGGCCTGAGCTGACCACTGACTCTGGCCCTAGAGCTGAACACTGACTCAGGCCTGGAGCTAACCACTGACTGGCCCTGGAGCTAACCACTGACTGGCCCTGGAGCTGACAACTGGCTCAGGCCTGAGCTGACCTCTGACCTAGCTGTGGCTATGTCCCAGCCTCCCCCCTTCCCTCCTCCTGACCTTTGCACTCCTGGAATGTGCAAGCAAGAAGCCGCGGCCCAGCATGGCTCTCCGGGCTCAGGCTCGCGGGCTCACCCTGCTCTGCGTTCTGCTCTGGCTTCAGGCATCCCAGGAGACTTCAGGTCTGTCTGCTGCTCTGCGCACGGGTGAGAATGGCATCAGGCTATTGGCTCGGGCTCTGGGGTGCCCAGGCCTCCAGCCTCGCCTGTGTTCCTGCCACTCCAGTCGGCAGGGTCGTCACCAGGGCTCCCTTGGTTCAGGTCCTGCAAAGGACTGGGCCCTGGCTGCTCCCAAGGGAGAGTCTGGGCTGACAGGGTTCAAAGAACTTTTAGCCATAGGGTGCTGTCTCCCCTGGCCCCTACCCCCTATCAAGTCAGACAGGGAAGCAGGGTGGGCTGCTCGGGTGGAACTGCTCACCCCTCATCTCTGTGGCCATGGCCATGCCCTTGTGCAAAGCTAAGGCCTCAGGAGGGGGGCCGGGGGCATGTTGAAGGCCGGGAGCCCTTCAGAGACAAGATGGGGGGGGGGGCCTGGGGCACGTGTTGAAGGCCGGGAGCCCCTCAGACGCAAGCCGGGCCACATGGTGCCTGCTGGCCGCCACTGTCTCTGTCATACTCAACTTCAAAACGTGGCAGTGTCACCTTTCAAGCCCCAGACTATGAATTAACCTGGGACCCCAAAGGCTGTGAGGCTGCGCGGCTGGTGCCTCCAGAGCCCAAAAGCTAGCAAGTTAGAGCTGCGCTCCTAGAGGGACAGAGCCAGGCAGGACTCTGCGGTTCTTCTTTGTTTTATTCTGTCCTTTCCGAATTCTCTTCAGTCTCTGGATTGCTTTGTGAGGCGATTTTCTGGGTCTCAGCTCTTCTGGTGCAGGCTTGCACGCTTCCAAGGTCTGGGGGTCAGCATCGATCATGTGCCACTGAGGTGTGAGGTTCTGTGGTGTGTGAGCCTCCGCCGCCCCTCCACGCCCTGCTTCTGCTCAGGCAGGCTCTGCCCTGTGAGTCCCAGCGGCTCTCACCAAACCACTGGCTCCCAGGAATGGGGACAAGGGATGATCTCCAGATTAGAAAGAAAACATGTGACTTTCCCAGTGAGATACAGGGTCCCCTGCCTCCCTCCCTCCCAGTGTGACACAAGATCCTCCCCCTCCTCCCTCCCTGTGTGACACAGGATCCTCCCCCTCCTCCCTATGTGACACAGGGTCCTCTCCCTCCTCCCTATGTGACACAGGGTCCTCTCCCTCCTCCCTGTGTGACACAGGGTCCTCCCCCTCCCTCTCTTTTCACGTTCACTTCTCAGC